TCCTCTCTATGTTTACGCTTCCTTGTAGACATCCGTAGCTGAGTCCCATTCTCTGGTAATAGAGGCTGCTGAGGATCTTCACCCTCAACACCAAGATCTATTAATTCAGTAGAAGAAGCTACAACAGTATCCTCCTCCTCCTCCTCCTCCTCCTCATTATCACTAATCGAAACTATCTCAGCATCCTGGAGATTCTCATCATTCTGTTCCTTTGACATCTCAATCTCATCCAACGTAAAATACTTCTCAAGCTGCTTCATCTCTGCCTCCTGGAGATCGAATCTTGATGCACACAGGAATAGCATGATTTCTTCAATAGTCTCAGACTTTAAACGGCCACGTCGGTAATGGCAGACATCACGCGCGGTGTTAAAAAGCCGCTCAACACCAGCACCAGTTGCAGGGATTGAAAGAACATCTCGAGCAAGCAATGCAGTTGCGGGAAACCGAGACTGGTTCTCACGCCAAAAATGAAGTGGTTCATCTTCGACTGGGTCTAGAAATAAATCAGTTTAGAATATTAAAGACAAAGTCTCTTTATTAAAGAGTTAAAGAACAAGACTAACCACTATCAAGATACTGAGCAGCCTCATCTCCAACAGGTTTTGCTATAGCCTTGCTCCCACTGAGCATCTTGTTGAGTTTTGATGTAGGTCTTGATGATGCCTGGGGTGTAGGTGAGGCTTGATCTCTGGCAAGACGTTGCTGATATGGAAGCAGTGCTGACTGGAATGATTTGCGATATGCAACACGCCACTCTTGCTCCCAGTCATCAGTTTGAAAGAACTGGAGTTTGCTATCTGGTGCAACCATAGTACAAATCGCAAAGATATGTCCTTTCACACTATCTGTTTGCGAATAGTAGTCACCAAGCTTCTGTCGGCCAGCTTCAAGTGATTGGAGCATCTGCTTTTTCCATGGAATCCGCTTCTTCTTTAGCTGACCTATTGACTTCTCAAGATGCTCAAAGAGTGCATTGTAGAGCTTGAAAACCAGATGTGTAGTAACCTCCTTTGTCTTTGACAGCTCAGTAGTGTAGTCAAAGAAAGGCTCTGTAATACAGAGAAGATAATCAATCTGACGCCACTCCTCATTATTAAGCAACATCTCTTCACAATCATACTGCTCACAGAATAATATGAAGTAGCTGCGTAGTCGTTTGGCACGTCGAAGCATCAAAAAGGTCGAGTTCCATCGAGTTCGGACATCTTGAATAGGCACTAGCCTAGGTTCTTTAGGCTGAAGCTGGAGAAAGGTCTCTCGCCGTTGAGGACTGGCATGGATGTAAATTGCAAGATAGCGGACCTTGTTCAATGTGCCTGAGATCTCATATTTTTGTTGTTTTGCATTTGCCTTTGCTGCAGATGATTGCCGATCGGTCCATTTTGTCTCAGCGGCATCATTTTGGGGTACAGCTTTAAGACGATCAAGAAGCTGATTCAGACAGAGCTGGATGACATGGGCAAGACAAGGGATTCGGATAACAGTGGTCTCACTAGAAAGTGCTTGTTGGATTGTATCCACCATAGTTTTGTTATTTGTCGCATTGTCTGTTGTAATTCCAAAGACTCGATCTTGGATGTTGTGATGGGTCAAAGTCTGAAGGAGAACTGCGCTTAGATTTGCACCAGTATGTGAGCCATGTAATGGCTTAAATCCAAGAAGAACCTCTTGATATACCCAGTCGGCATTAACAAAATAACCAGTGATTGCCATAAAAGCCTGGTTATAGGGAGAAGTCCAACAATCTAGTGCAATCGATATTTTGGACTCAGGAGGAAGGGTTTTGAGAGTAGAGCGTTGTTTATCTTGGATAATGTCTCGTAATCGTCGCCGAATCGTTGTTGCAGAAGGTATCATCGGAGGAGAAGGTGCTAAGCGTGCAGATCGGATAAGGGTGTGGAAGGTTGGATGTTCAATAAGATGGAATGGTAGGCGATTTAAGGTAAGAAACTGCAATAGCTGTATTTCCCATGTAGTTTGTGAGAATGACTGAGTAGCTGTTTGGCCCTAAAATAGTTAATATAAGATAAATAATAGTAAATAGAGAACATACTTCTGATATTAGGAACTGAGAGATATCCTCTTTTCTGTTGGCTTTAGCCTTTTGGCAACCTGCTGTTTTGAGATGCTTTAACAGACTTGATGTACCATATAGACTTCTGCCATTTGGTAAAATTGATGCAGGATGCTCTAAGATCCGGGCACAGTTTTTACACATAACTTTTGGTGCCCCATCTTTATGAGCGGCAACCTGATCAAAGTGACTCCAGATATCTGAATTGCGATTTGTGTCCCATTTGAGATTGCTTTTCTGTCCAAAATCTGTCTGAAGCCACCAATCAACCCAATCTGTGTGAGTCATGCTGTTATAAAGTACAAATGCCTTTCTCCGATCGGGGCCAACACGAGTAAATGAGTCAGGGGGAGGAAGATTGCTTGGTCGGAGAAAATCAGGCTCACTTCCTTCAATTGGACAAGAACCAAGAATAATGTTTGTCGGCGTAATAAGAGGATTTGAAGGAGTAAAATCAGTTAACTGACCTGTGTCCCCCTCATAAAGAGAAGGCAGAAAGTCAGACTCCTGGCTTTGGCCTTGGGACATATTGACACCAACTGAGAAATAGCTGTAGAGAAAGCGAGACATATTAGGAGAGAACTTACCTTTAGCAAAGAGATTGACTGAATAGACAGATTCTTCTAAATCCAGCTGGAAAAGGGGACAAGTAAAAGCAATATAGGGAAATGATATTTTATTGGCTATGGGCACAGATCTGATCCACAAAAACCCATCACCAACCCATCACCAACCCATCAAGCCCATGTGATATATCGAAAGCCCATCGAAAACCCATCGGAAACCCATAATACCCATCAGAAACCCATTTAATACCCATTCCCAACCCATTTCCCACTTTTTGGGTCGAAAAAGATTTTCACCATAGGCAGTTTTCGGGCGAAAAACCATCCCACCTATAAGATAGACTCCTTGTCTCTAAAAGCTCTCTATTACCTGGGTATCTATAGTAAAAATAAAGAAATAAATACTAGTAGACTTTATTCTCTATAAGTATTTATTAGTGCTCTAGATTCTGGTAGTTCTTGAAGTGAAAAGCATTTTTGATCCCTGTTGTACTGGAGTATGTGTTACCTTCATAGAAATATATATCTCCATGTTCTTCCAAGGTTAAGCATCAAAACAGCCAAAACATTACATACTACAAAAATAGCACCACTACTACCTAAATTTAACGATTTGATCTGAAAAAAATAAATAATTTGATTCAAAGATTCTTCTGCTGATTTTAAAAAATATATTTTGAGAAGAGACTGTAACTATACAGCCATGAAGTCCTGAATCAGAGAAGACATATCAAAATTACAATGATCAGTAAGCTGAATTATCCATGCCAAGCCTCAAATTTATGCACAATATGGGTTTTTTGTACCCATATGGGTACCCATGAAAAACCCATGGGTACCCATCGGGATGGGTGCACCATTTTGAAAAAACCCATAACCCATCATGGGTTGGGTATGGGTCCAAAAGCTGGACCCATTTGGACCCATTGCCGAAGTCTACCTAGGCTTATATAATATTTCTAAAACTCTTTATATAAAGTTACTAGAGAGACTACTACTATAGTCAGATCTTTAGAGATCTATACTAGAAACTAGAATAGAAGACTTTTACCTCTATTAATAGATATAATAACTATAATAGGACTAAATCTATACTAGATTACCTAGAGGACCTCTAGCTACTTCTCTTTAAATTATATAGAAGGGTTACCTAGGAAATACTATAATACTTCCTTTAGATTATAATTTATAAATTTATAGTAGTAAGTTACCTAATTCTTCTACTACTTATTCTCCTAAGGAGTATACTTCTGCTTCTTATTTAGATATTTAGAGGCTAAGAGAAGATCTGTATAGAGAAAGTCTAGAAAGTAATACTAGTTCTAACTAATATAGTAAAATATTATATAGTAATAGACTATAGTACCTAGGGCCTTATAGAGCTAGTAGGTATATATAAGGCCTATAATATAAGAGAAGTAACTAGTCTATAGATTTTAGAAATTCTTATCTGAATTAGTCTTAGGATTAATAGTCTTATTAGTCTCTCTATTATTATTAGTATTCTAGGGAAAAGTACTACTTATATAAAGAAATTAGTAGCTAAAAGTAATTATAATATACTACTATATAGTAATATTTACTATCTACCTATTAAGACTAAAATAGAACTCTTACTAAAGGACCTCCTAAAGCTAATTAGTGGTCTAGGATTATTAACTAAGGGAATTAGAGCTCTAGAGTAATACTATACAGACTATAGTAGGTTACTAATCCTAAGGGCTAGTTAAGATATTAAATTACTCTACTAAGGATAGAATAAGCTACAGATATTGTATAAGTAAGATACCAACTAACTAAGGTAGGTATTAATAAATAATCTTTAGATTATTCTAGATATAGAAATCTTTATAGTATTAAGTTATAATTACTACCTACCTATCCTTAATAAAGATATTCTAGTAGATATTGGTAGTATTATAATAGTAGATAGAGAGAATCTCCAGGGCCTATACTAACTAGCCCCTATAGAGATAGATTAAAACTATAAGTTTCTCTTAGAAGAGACTTACCTAGACTAGATATTACTTAATAGTATTTATATAGAAGTAGCTATAATCAATATCTAGAAATTACTACTAGAGAACCTAGTCAGAGTAAAGATATTTTACTAGCTACTAATCCCTATAGACTAACTAGATTATATAAAAGTTATAGAGAAAACTCTATCCAAACTTAAACTCTAAGAGATTATCTATTATTATTACTTAGGGAACTAAAGAAGTCTTAGTCTTTAAGAGTAAAAAAAGTAGATTAGATAAGAGAAGATCCTAGTAGGTCTAGACTAGTCTATAGATCTAACTACAAAAATTACTAGTAGTAAAGCTAAACTATTTATAGAGAAGGTAATTTATATCTACCTAACTAATATATCTAGACTAGATTATACTAAAGCTTACTTTTATACTATATATATAAAGATCTAAGATCTACTAGAATAGGGAGTTAGTACCTTAGAGTATAAAGTTCTTTATAATTAACTAGACCTATTCTTAAAAGATCTTATCTATATAGCTATAGAGATACTAACTATATAGAAGTAGAGCTAGAGAGGAGGAGTTAGAGGAAGAGAGGATAGCTAGTAAGAACAGACTCTAGTATCCCTTATTATTATATAAGTACTAATACTTAGAGTTATCCAGGGAACTAGTTAGATCAAAATTAGTACTAGTCTCCTCCCTATAGAAGTATTAGATAATCTACTCTATATAGGGATCTAGTTAGAGGGTCTACCCTAGGACTAGAAACTAAGTAAGTTTAATTACCCTAGATAGGATTAGAGAGAAGAAATCAGTAGTATACTAACCTATATAGGACTGACCTAGTACAGTAAGAGTCTAAGACTTGGTAGGTCTCAATAGGCTTAGGGAAGGTTGGATAAAGAAGAAGATTGGTGTTTGCAATGTTTGCTGATATTGTATTGATTGTCTTGATTGTCTTGATTGTCTTTTGTATGGGGGGAGAAGGTTATATATATATTTAGCTGGCTTAGGCAATATTGCTAAGTATGGTAGCAGTAGCACCGGCATAGTTACATCCGGGGCACTAGCATAGTTACACCCGGAGCACTGGCACAGTAACCCCCGGGGCACCGGCATAGTTACACCCGGGGCACCGGCATAGTTACACCCGGGGCACTGGCACAGTAACCCCCAGGGCACCGGCATGGTTACACCTGGGGCACTGGCATAGTTACACCCGGGGCACTGGCACAGTAACCCCCGGAGCACTGGCACAGTAACCCCCGGAGCACTGGCACAGTAACCCCCGGGGCACCGGCATAGTTGCACCCGGGGCACTGGCATAGTTACATCCGCTCTCTAAGGCTTGTATAGCCTAGGCAGCGGTAATATTTGTAATATTCATAGGTGCCGCTCGGCCATCGGTATAGGTGCTGCTCGGCCATCGGTATGGGTGCTGCTTAGCTGTCGGCACGGGTGCCACTTAGGTGTCATCTATCGGTTGTTATAGCCGGAGCTTTGGCGTATTTTGTTATAGGGTTTTATAGTATAATATTCATAAAGAGTATAGACTAAAGTATACTTATATTTGTCTATACTAATCTACTAGTTTAGTAACTTAATATAGAAGTTTAGATAGGTCTACTTAATAGATTAGAAGTAGAAGAGTAAGGGTTTAACTAATATAGCTAGAGCTATATAGTCTTTATTACTCTTATAGAGATTAAGGGAGAGAGAGTAGGTAACTAGAGTCTAGAGATACTACTATACTTTCTATTAATAGTAGTTAAAGTAGTAGTAGGGGTAGGCCGGGTAGGAGAACTCTATAGAATACTATATATAGATAAAGAAGTTGATAATCTGTTGTTAGAGAGTAATATAGGCTAGGATTGTCTCTAGGTCTATATAGGCTTGTAGAGAAGTATATAGGGACTGATTAATCTTTATATAAATAATCTCTACTTAGATTAGATAGCTATAGTATTTAGTAATTAACTAGGCTATATAGACTATACTAGTTATAGTCTAGTAGATTTTCTAGAGTAGATTAGATATATTAGACTTAGGGGTCTTAGTTAGTAAAGAGAGAATCTCTAGATATTAGTTCTTAAGATACTATAACCACTATATACAATATAGCTATAGAGTAGTCTTATTTAGCTCTATAGTCTTAATTATATAATCTAAAGACTAAAAGATCTCTTAGTACTACTCTTCTAGTTAGTTAAAGAGCTAGTTAATAGTAGAGAATACTAATTCTAGCTCTACTAATTCTAATTATATAGGGTTAAGTATAGTAAAATAGTATAAGTTAGACCTCTATCAGTAAAGATACTAATAATAAACAGAGTAAGTATATATTTAAATCTCTTATTTTAATAAGGAAGAGAGAGTTAAATTATTAGCTAGTTAAGAAGGGGACTTAGTAAAGATATACTAATTATAAGTAGTATACTAATACTCTTTAATAGCCTTCTTTATACAATAGATATAATAATATAATAATATACGGTAATATTAGATACTATTATAATATAGTAGAAGAGACTTAAAGTAAGAGAGTCGATTAGAGATTAGATCAGATAAAAAGAAAGTAAGTAATTAAGGCTATAGTATAGGGAGAGTTTCTTAGATCTTAGAAGTAATTCTAACTAGAATCTTATATATTGATGAGGTTAAATAAGTAATAATCTGATTTAATCGTACGGTAAATTGATACTTATAATAGATAAGGACTAGTAGTGTACGAAGAGGAGTGAAAAGCTCTTAGGTAAGAGCAGAAATATTAGTTTCTATAATTGAGAGTTGAAAGGTAGAGTAGTCTGAAAGTGCCTAAAAGTGATTTAAAAAGTAATAAGTATATATTTAGGGGTCATACGTTAACAAGTATCTTTTTACTAAGCTTCTTGAGTGGGTTAAAAATCCTAGAGTGGAGTCTCCCGGTCGTACCCCATCAAAAATATTAGAGAGTTTTAGACTAATTAGGGTTAGCTCCTACAACTGCTATAAGGGACAGTAACTTCTAAGATTCAAACTGGTAGCGGTAGGGATATCAACTTAGAACTTATGAAATTTTCAGAGTAATCGTACAATAGAAGCTCTGCGCAGTCAGGTCCTGAAATATATAAGCAGTGGGGTAGGTGGGGCGAATTCTGCCCATACTTAAGAAACCCTTACCGCCAAGCAGTCAGGCCCACTGCTCCAGGTCCCTTAGGTTAGGCTGTATGTATGCTGGGTGCTAGAATGTTATTGTAGCTTCAAACGCTCGGATAATCTGAAGGCCTATTATCTGACTTATGCTAAAATGGGTGGTCGCAACTGCTATGTGGTAACCTTGGATAAGATGAGTTTTGTTTACAGCCCTGACTTTTGCGGCCAATTGATATTGGAGGGCTGGCCAGCTCTTGGATAAGTGCGAAGATTCGAACCCTTCAGTCTAGAAGATGAATCCTCGGGTCTATAAGGACACCTCTTTTGTTTCACGGTTTGCCCATTAGTTCCCGGTTGCCTTAAAGTATGGAAGCTTTTTTCGCAATGTGTGGAATGAATATGCTTCTGCCGTTACATGTAGTTCGGCGGTTTTTGGGATCAGTTTCAGGAACCAGAATCCCCAAAAGAGGTTGCCCATCCCGAGTTGTACGTGTCTGGAACTTAAGGTTTAAATCGGTGAAGCTCTTGCCATTTCCCAGAGTTTCTAGGGAGGGCTGACAACCTCAGTGAGGGACCCATGGCATTATCGAGAACGCAATAGAAAGGCGTCGAGGGTTGTTTGTCTTCCGTTGATCATGCTAGAACATTCCTTGAGGTTCTACGACCTCCCTCGTAAAACCACAAACGTTGTGAGAGTAGCGGCATTGCTAGGGGAAAAAATTCAAATTTTAATTGAGAACCACTGAGGTTTTATCCATCAATCTAAATATCCCGTGGTACGTACTGATGACTTGAGAATTGCTCTTGGAAGGTACCTGTCACAGAGAGTTTGGATTTATTCCCGATTTGTCTTCTTTCAAGGTCAAGGCTACAAAATTTAGTGTATAGATTGTTAGAATAGACGCTAGTCAGTAATACTAGTACTAAAGAGTTCTTGGCTATTTGATAAAACCCGGTCTGTAGCTATGAACTACCATAATACAAAGAGCATTTATTAACACGGCACTGCTTGTATATAGATAGCATCATATGATATCCCTCTCTGCAAGTATTTATCCCACGGCTAACAAGACTCAAGACATGCTCAGTAATCACGAAGTTCCTCCACCTGCATGATATCTTCAACAAACGTGGCGTCGTACTCTTTCATAATTTCTATCTTCTCCTCCATGTTCATCGCGAAATGTATCCTCCCAAAATCTCTTGGGCGTTGCCTGGAACTCTCAAATCTTAACACCCACACGCCCACGTTATCCGTCGGCCAACCGAACACTAGCATCTTTTCTTCCTCCTCCGTCATAAACCTCGAGCCTACCTCCGCCTCTAACATATCCTCTTTACTTAACCACCACTTAGCACCAGTCCGTCGCAAAAGATTACAGAATCTGTCTTCTTCGTCGGCACTAGATGACCGCTGTGATTTCTCAAAGCGAGGGAGTGATAAGAAGAGCATATCAAGAAGATCAGCCTCTTTGACAAGAACCCCGCCAGTAGAGGGATAGCCGTAGACTATACATCTTCCGCGGTTAAACTCAGTCCGGTCAGTCGTTGGTAGAAGAGGGAGCCTGTCGCACGAGACCCAGGTTTTTGGTACGTCATCCATCCCTGTTCGTGAGGGTCGATAGAAATAATTCCAGATAGGATTGATAGCGATAGGAAATATGCGGCCAATGGTTTGTTGGCCGAGAGTCGATAGGAAGGTGGAGATGATGGCGACGAGCATAATAATGACGCTGAACCTCCAAATCATGCCAGTGTTTCAATAAGGCTGCCAACTTGAACAGGTGCACTCAGGGTCATGCAGATGACCATCTTAAGGGAATGTAGAGGAGGTGGGGGAAGCTTCCATCAACTGATTGGGCAGCGACCTTGATATATGTCTTGTTCTGCCGAGATTGACCGCTAACCGATGGAATCATCATGTCTTCGGCGTTATCAAACTGGTAACCCCAGCCAATCGGACCTCAGTTACAATGAGTACGAACGCCACCGAGGACTCGCAATTCTACTCTACAGTTCGAGGTGTATGTAGTACGGTAAGTTACATGATGTACATAACAGGAAATCCAAATAAGGCTAGCTCGCTTTATATAATCCTCCAATAATAATTAGTCCAATGCCGACACCATATCCGCCACTACACTAGTAAACTCCGCTCTTGGCAAAGCTAGATCCTTCGCTAAGTCATATTGTTAGCAAAGTCGCCCCCAAGAAATAGGCGATCACCGAACATGCTTTTGGGAATAGTCTACTTTCATCACCTAAAAATGGACTCCTTTATTTCGAAATCGAATCTTCCCGGTCGGTTATATGTTCATGTATCGCCTAGTATAGCCCCAGATAGGGTAGCGCATCTGTTATTTAGCTCGTTTGTCGCTTGTGCGAATAGAAATCTCGGATATAGCAATCGGTAGAGTCCAAGCATGTGAATAGTTGAACTAAAAGTCTAAGACATATCATTTCCAATCTTTCTACTATCGCAAGCGATGTAACCTGGCTTTGGGTCATGGGAATTGGACCAGGAAACTACCCGACGAGATGTACAGCACTTTAGATGAAGCGCCCAGAGACCAATTAGTATATTATATCCTTCCTTTTTTTCGCTGGACTTCATGCGACAATAATTTTACTATCTGCAGCCCATCAAAATGGGTCTCCTTGCAGCTTTGACAACGTTCTTCTTACTGCTTGGCTACACTTCAGCTGATCTACCTCCCGATTTTCCAGGCGACGAGGCACCTTACCATGTGATCCCAACTGGTACTGTGGAACCTGATAATTTTTTTGGAACGTACCTCTACGGATATCTTGAATGCAATAAGAACTTTGGCGCAGGAGCTAAGGGGAAAATTGACGACGCCTATTATGATGCATGGCTGATGTCCAAGTAAGTCGACCCCTCTTAATCATCATATCCTGTCAACATGCGTCGCGAGCTATCCTCTTAACCTATCCTTCCTACCGATCTTAATTCTTGCGATATTCCCTGGAGAAGAAATAGACTGACCCGGTATCCGTGATCTCCAGTACTGAAGGAGTGGCAAAAAACATCGATTGGAACAACGCAGCTGCGCTGGAGTTTTTGGGGCCCCCGGGACTGAACAAAGACCAGCAACCTCAAATACAGGCGGTCTTTGCAAATACGGCGACAGTCATATATAGCTACAAAAATCCTCTTTGGCAAAATGCTATCAAGGTTCGATGCGATGATCCATTAAAGCGGTGCCAAAAACGGCCGGATCAAGATCCGTGTCAGTCCAAGTACGTACTAGGTGCTACCATTCTTTTTCTGTTGATCTGGAATACAAAGGGACTTTACTGATACATTCCAGCCAAGCAAACTCAAACTCAGACCCAAAGCCAACAACAATTGCATACGCGATGAACGAGGACCCAGATACTGCCGGCTATCCGGCGATCAATTTTTGCAGCGACTTTTTCGGTCTCCGTAGTCTGTCAGACGCAATATCTCGCGGGAAAAGTCTAAACAGTCCCTACAACCTACTACTTTCACAATATAACAACAGAGGACACGCATTTTTGGTGAGCTGGATCAAAAATATTGAAGCTAAAAGTCTGATGTACTAACTAAAATGTATCAGCATGAGTTATTCCATTTGGATCTGGCAGCCAACTCTCCAAACCCTAATCCTACTGTTTTCGATCTCACTATTAGCGTTCAACATAGCGAAAACGATGTCCGTACGTATAAGGCATACGGTCCTACGTGGACTAAAGTGTTAGCTCGTTGGTATAGTACAAGACAAGGCACAGAAACTGCGGGATACTATGTTCAGAGAAATTCCGACAACCTGGCATATTATGCATTGGCCAAATACGTGATGTCAAAAAATGGCAACATATATCCTCACCTGCCCATTATTACCAAGCTGCTCGACGGACCTCCATACCTCCCTTATGACCCGAGTTTACTCGTCACGTTCGTTGAAGAAGGCAGCGACTTCTATTTGAATATTACGGACGATGTTGCGATTTCGCATTTTTCCTCTGCTGGAGACTCTCCGCCTTGTTCTGAAGATACAGACGGGAACGAAGTAAGCTCTCCCCTAGCCATTGACGGATTCGCTCCAGCGTCCGCCTACCCAGATAGCTATAACAGCCAATTGTCGACTTGGATAGAGGCCCTGGGCTCGACAAATGGGGGTTCGAATAGTACAGGTTCAGCATCGGGAGGGGATGCCGGCCAACAGATCGCCATTGCATCGTATATCAATCCTCTCGGAGACCCGGCTTCGTGGGAACGACTCTTAGCATATGACACTGAGAAGGTCAGCGTATTGGTTGCCAATGTTATGAACGGTCCAGATTATGCGATCGATACGAACTGGAAATCGGTGATTGATCAAGCTGCGAGTCAAGGCAAAAAGATCCTTGGTTATGTTCGGACTGGATACCTTGGCGTGAGCCAACAACAATTTACCACTCGACTTGGCTCCCATAACCTCGCAGACTGGGCTTCGCAGATTGAACAAGATATCGACAAGTGGTTCGAGCTATATGGGAGCAGTCTCGGCGGTATTTTCTTTGATGAAGGCTGGCCAGAATGCGGTCCCAACAATATTTACGCCGAGCTATACGCATACATCAACGATTACACGAAGCGCAAGCACCCCGGCACATATACAGTGCTCAATCCTGGCTCTCCAATAGCTCAATGCTACGAAGACACTATGGATACACTGTTGACATTTGAGAGCAGCCATGAGACTTATACAACCTCGTTCGTACCTAATGATTGGACGCCAAAGGATCCCCGAAAGATATGGCATATCATCTATAAAGTATCACAGGAAAAAGTTCCGGGTGTTGTTGCGCTAGCCCGGAGCCGTCATGCAGGGTTACTGGAAATTACCGATGATGACCAACCCAACCCTTACGACACTTTACCTAGCGAGGCTTATATGAAAGCAATGATGGACGAAGTATCAGGTGGTAAACCTAGCATTGATGAGCCAGCTAAAGTTACTGGATCCTACGTTGCTGGTCTTCCAAGCAACGCAGCCGTCTCCTCCTCGGACTATAGCTCCGTCACCCTCACCTGGTCATCTGTCGCAAATGCTCTTGGCTACGCGGTGTATAAGAATGGCGAACAGGTGCTGGACCTGCCCGCCTCATTGACCCGAGCTACGATTGGCATGCTTGACCCCGGATCCTCTGGTATCACATTCGAGGTACGAACGCTTTTAGCTTCAAGCAGTGGAGGTAGCTCCCGGTTAATCTCGGCGAGCACTAAAAGCCTACCGGACAGTGGTACAATCGCCAATGCTAGCTTTACAAGGGATGGCGACAATGTTGTCTACAAAGCTGATATTCTGGTACCATACGCATTTGTGCGGCTATTTATCGGCATTAAACAAAAGGAGTATCCAACAGCTCACACACCCGTCCACGGGTGGCCGATTGACAAGGCAGGCCTGGATGATCAAGGTACCCAGTGGCACCAGGTCGTCAACTACCTCGTCGAAGGAAATGACTTTTACTCCGGCTTTTACGAATACACTGGTTCTTGGAATGACCAGGACAGAGGTAATGCGGAATGGTCGTGGTCCTCTCTCGGTGTTGCACCCCAATCTCAGAGTGGTTACACTTATACATGGAACGTCCCGCTCGCTGGCACAGATGCTGTAGCCAGCGAGTATCTTATACAAGGCCAAGGATACGCCCCGATCAACAATCTCTGCATGGGAACCCTTTATTTCTATACGATATTTTAGAGAACGCCTTACCAAGCCTTATTAATTAAGGTCTGTGTTACGATCTCACACATGTGGTCCCTGACAAGTGCCTATTGTTGTTCTTAGTTAGATTTTTGCATCTGCCTCTTCTTCCTCGTGAATATTAATTTCGTCACAATGCCACGATATATGTTAATACAGTTTTTCTTGTGAATCATAACCTTGGAACTACTAGTAGGTGCTAACAGGCCTGGAGTGTGCACCTCTTTAGCCTACACTAGTATAGCAGGGATGGCCTATTCTGTCTTGATAAGGTATCTCAGAGTTAGATGTCTTAGAAACTTAGCGGATTGCTCGGCCAAGTCAACAGCTGGTCCTTGATGTAGCCTTGTGTCCGCTCCGATGATATTCATAGTGGCTCGTACAGTACTGATGATGTACTATCGAAGGTCCGAATGGATGATCGATTATCGTCCAAAGGAAAGTTTATCCACGGTCCTGTTGAAAGGTGATCCCGAGGCCTATGTGATCTATCAGATCGATGCTGCATGTTACGATACAGTTTATCCCCGATATAGCCTGGTCTACCATACAAATACTATGGCAATGCAGGCGGAGGTTGGAAAGCGCTGATCCTGAGATAGTAGTATTTAACATCTTTTCAAGCTGACGCTAAAAAATATCCACAGCAGTTATTTTTAACTTATAGAAATTTACCGTCAAGTGCTGCTGGGGCGACTTGTTCGGTCTTCGTCTCGCCAATGCCCGATTGTGCCCTTTTAATGTCGTTTTCGGATGTCCAGGTGAAGCGGTCAGTCCATGCTCAGGGCAGTAAGGCATTCGGACTCGGTCGTTGACAAAGGCCGAGACTTACCAGAAGCTTTACCTCATCGAAATGTGGAGTACCATCGAATGCTCTTATATGCTAAGCTTTAGAGCTATCGGACTTGCGAATACTCTGGATTAATTAATTTTTTTGGTCTACGACGTCCAAATTCCTAAAATGCTCGGCGTTTATAAGTGTGGAGCCCAGAACCACACAAATTGCTTGATGCCGGTAAACTTCATGCAAAAGTTGATAAACAGTGCGAAACGATGACTTTTACATATTAGATTCGAAATGGTAGTACATACTCCGGTCGGTCTTCTGTGTGGCATTCTCTCGGCCCGAGCTTCGTCGCGAGCTCGTTGGCAATATTCTAAATCTGAGGTGGTGTTGCTATGTGTCAGCTTAATATCAAATATATATCCCTAGATCAGTGCAATTATATACACTATCAGCGGTAAAACCTGTAACGAACCACCATAATAACAGCGATCGAGAACTTGATTCTTCAGAACATATTTCAGTTATCACTTTGTGTTAACCTGATCGAATAAAATGCACTTGTGTGAAGCAGAAAACGCTAGTCTTGCTGGATATGTGCCCGGAAGAACGGCGGACATGATTATTTGGAAAATCGTGGCTATAATTCGGCAAAATTCGTGCGGCGGCGCCTCTACTGTGTGGTCTAATGGAAGTTGTTGCATCGGCTTTTCAAGAACGGCCCGGGTTCGATTCTTGCAGGATACATTCTGATGACCTTCATCAGAAAGGCGGATCAAAACCTGCTTGATTTCCCGGCTGATTTCGTGTTTTCTACGATTTATTTTTTACCTCTTGGCCACTTCGTTAATATAATGAACCCCCTTTCCTGTAGTCACTTGCGCATGCCGACCCAAGGCAGCATCCGGCGGCATTCGGACGTGTGCCACAGGCGACGAGGCCGTGCACTGACGCGTCGCAGTGTCTCGCGTCGGGCAAATGTGACATGCGCGCTGACAGAAATATGACGGTTACTTTCAAAGACAGCAAATACGTCTTATCCACGAGTTATCACAAACCCACCTGGCATATTTTGAGTATTAATTGAGCAGCTGTTACCGTCGCGGCACCCGACTGGCCGTACTTTACGAGGCTGCATCTGCTGATGAATTCATGGCGTTGTGATGACATCGAGGAGGCAGCATACGATCTAGCACTGATTATTAGCAGCTGGCGCAAGGTGGTCGTTCGCCACTCACGGTGCTCATGCCCCAGATGAGATCCCCTACTACCAGCTGCGAACAGCACCCCGGCCGGACTCTTGGGACTGGCCGAACCAGGGCTGTGTTTCACTGCCATCCGAGGTCAGTATGGTGTCTGGTGGGTGAGGAGTGGTAGAAACTTGCCGTAAATATAGTCTCACATCATCATAGGCAAGCTAGAGATGAGGTAGCAGGCGTCAGCTCGATCCCACGTGCACGTGGGCCGGGGATCACTTTGTACCGGGGAATGGATATAGCCATACCTACCTATGCACGGCCCTGGGAAAATCTGCAACCGTGTCAGGGCAAAGTACCACTGAACAAGAAATTCACGGTGTTTTCTTTGCGACAAACTTCGCCCTGACCTGAAAATGGCTGGTCTCACGGCGACGGATCTATGGTAGATCTAAGCCGTGACTTTCTTGTCGCTTGCTCAACTGAAATCAGGGCTTGAAAGATCTGGCCTCAGACTAAGGCCAAAATCTCGGTTAATATCCTTGCCGATGCTATTATCGGCTTCTTCTTGTTGTTGCGGATGCTCCGGTGGCTCGCTCGGTCAACAGTGAGGCCGGCTCATGGCCATCAACAAGCTTTCGAATCGGACGTGGGGCAGGAGGCTCATAGCTGCCAGAATATTGCGAGTTATTAATGTATTGACTGTCAACGTTTGTCCGGGCAGGGTAATTTCGAAGAAATAAAATGAAAACACTCTGGAATTCTACCGTATGGCTAAGCAGAGGGCACCAAGCCTTTCTGAATTGGGCCCCCTCATAAGCTAGGTAAAGTGGCCATTTCAACCACGACTTTAGAGACAACAAAGGCGCAAGTGTAGTACCATTCAGTGGCTTGGCCTATCAGATTGTTGAAGCTGTTTTAGTTTCGAAGACGAGGGGGAATATAACTCTGTCAGGTCGAGGGTAATATTGATACGTGCCCTGTGAAAAAGAAGAATTATCAGCGATATTTTCTGAGGAATAGAGAGCCACGACTGGATATAAATTGTATGGAGATCGAAATGCAGTACCGGGTGTTGTGAATGGGCAGGGGTAAACCACTAGCGGGGCTAACAAGTCATTGAGCGACTCGCGATAGGAAGTTTTCTATCCTATAGAGAGGGTCGTCAGCACATGATATCTGTCTTGCAAATTCCTGTAAAATTCAAAACTTACGTTATCAGTTATTGCCGTCCACTGAAAGGGACTTTATAAAAGATGGTATCTATCTATCATCAATCATCGGTAGGCGGTTTATGAATGCAATTTGTAACCCATAGTGCTCGCGGTTTGGACTATTTCAGGCCCTGAAAGGTTCGTTCAATGAGCTCTTCGAGGAGTAGCGGAAACGAGGTTGATATTGAGTATCTTCGGAGTTTGTATGATTCTAAAGACTGGGAAGCGACACTCACTTGCTGTCTGAAGACCTTATTATTGGAAAATGTTAAGCTATTGCGACGTAAGAGGTCAGTTCATTACATTGCATGATTTGGAGGTTAATACATACCAAAGAGTAGCCGCGGAGAGGAATCACGCTCGATATTCTCTGACCCAGAATCACAAATGAAGGCTTGTGGGTGTCTGTTCTGCTGGCGAGGAACCGGGTATTTATATCAATTCGGCTAGGCATTCAGTCTACGTCAATGAGAGAATCATTTTGAATTGTGAGGCTCAAGCTCAAACTACACTTCAATGGGAATTGGCTCAACATTTCGATGTTGGTTCAAAGCATCTCCAAGAGACATTGAATTTTGCACCTGGTCATCCGAACATGTGAAACATTTTCTGGCAGTTCGCATCGTGTAACCAGTCGTGAGGATGCCATCAAAAAGAATTGATGACAGTTATCAACATTCACCACCGTCAGTCCGCCCTTTATTGCGACGGGCGAGGTGACGAGATCATGTCATTTCATTCCACTCATTTGTGATGAGCCCGTTAGTCCCCGCAACAGCAAATCACTAAAGGCAGGCAGACCGCAGGGTTATTCGTTGCCTACTTCACATATCGGAGAAAACTTATAACACAATATCGAGTAGATACAAGCCATGGTACGGCGCGGAACTGATTCGCACTGCCTCATCTCACAACAGAGTTTCTTGTACAGCGAGCCAGTCATCAGTTTGGTTACGTTCTTAACCTCTGCGGTCAGCTGTCGCGTCTTTGCAAAGACATTACCCACATCAATCTCCTAGGAATAAAGTGGATGCGGGTGGGTACTACTACGGAGTATTAGCTTGCTGTTTATAGACTAGCCGAGATTAGTAATGCTCGCACCCATACAATTTTGTATGTGTATGGGCATAACAATTCAGACAACTACCCATGGACCTGATTGGACTTATATTTCTGTTCCGACAATAATCAATGGATGGGGTTCGCTAAATGTACAGTTCTAGGACAAAAGTTTCCGTGTACGCTAGTGCCCACTAGCGCGTTTTGAATGTATTTTGACGCTAAAAAGTCGCGATCGTGAGCGCGTTCCCCATAACAACTATTTTTTAACAATTCAACGATGGTTCCACGTACGCCGTTGAGGTCTATTAGTGCCAATAGGGGGTATGGCCATGAATTATCTCCATATTTCAGAGGTCAAATCTTAGTTTATCAAAGATTGGTATGGCGCAGGTTAAAATCGCGCATCTATTGAATGTGTCACCATCAACTATTCAGTATACCCTACAACAAGAAACTTAGGGTTTGAAGGTAATACGCTTTCACAATCTGGCCGACCACCTATATTATCAGAAAATAATAAGGTTTCTATTATCAATATCGTTAAGCGTGATTCCTTTATTGGGTATGATACATAATATTCGCGCTCAAAGTGGATTTAATGTTTGTAACAAAACATTTCTCCGAATGCTCAAAACATCAGGTTATGGGCATTATAAAGCCAAAAAGACCTCATTTGCATGCTAGAGTAGCCAAACTACGTCTAGACTGGGCTTTGGCACATCAAAATTGGACGTTGGAAGA